TTTTTTTTTTGAAATCCCATAGTGTTGTTCAGAAGAGGCAACCACAAGTATCCACATGCAGTTCTTTTCATACATTCCTATTCAGAAATTCTTACCCAAACTTTACAGTTTCTATCATGCTGAAACAGCTCAAGTTTGGAAAAGATGCAGACTATTATATGTAGAGGTACAGCATCTATCCTACATAAGTACAGATAAACTATGTAGCCATAAGGTCACTGCAATCATTTTTGCTAATCATAAACAAGGCTAAAATAATTGGAGAAAAAAAAATGAAAGCAAGTATTTGCAAGACAATACTGAAGAGGAGTATTGCCAGAGCAAAGCTATTGGCACTAGGAAGTGGCAGAAAGATTTATTGCTGTGCTCTACTTTAAGTGAAATGCCAGAATTCAGAAGAAATCCATGGATTTCCACAAGGAGGTACCCTAAGTGCACACAGCTGTTCACATTTGTTGCTCCTATTTCCAAGCTTGGAAACAAAAGTTAAAAGCCTGTTCAATTACAAATTTTACTAATACAGCAGAATCTAGGGAACTACTAATTGAAACCATCTTAACACTTTCACCACATTGTCTAAGTTAATTCACATGGTCCTCAAAACCACAGTGCTATTCCTTACACTTGAGAATTAGCCAGCTGCTAGGCACAAAACCCTCTAACCACATGGATTTACAGCCTCATAGTGAGACTATTTCCTCCAATTAAATGACAATAGGAAAACAAGGCTGCAAGCATGCAGAGTAGGAAGTGCAGCTCTTAAGTTAACTGCCCATTCTTGTGTTTTACTTACTCTCTGGTCATGTAGTACCTGTCTAATCTCCTGCCCTCAATCCACAGTTATTTACAGTTTTGCTCAGGACCAGTTCCCCATGCCTAGCCAACCTACCAGGCTTCCCCATCATTGATACTTAATAAGGTCCCCAGCATAATTAAAAGCATTAGCTTTAAAAGTCATATTACCCATCAATTAACCAACAGATAAATATAGCATTTTAGTATCTTAATAGCTTAATTAAGTACAGGTAACATGGATGCCTCCAAAAACACATTCCAAAAGCATGTGTACTATTGTAATCAGAGAGTAAACAGCTGGCTACCCAAGTCTATAAACACTTCTCATTTTATTTCACTTGAAAGATCACAACATACATAAAATTTTTGAAAGCTTCCTAATCATAATTTCTTCATGGGTTTTTTCCTCCTAAAGAAATTGCTGAAGTTAAATAAAAAGCAACATTGCAAGGAGTTATTACTCTAACTATTCTAAAAGATGTACCTTTTTTACACTGAAATGCATTAAACAGACATAACATTTCTATAATGTTGCATTTAAGTTATGATTTCTTTTCAGTCTAACAGTAAATCTCATCTTCACCTTCCAACAAGAGATACAAGTATTTCCAGAGCTTTGGTGGAAGATGTGTAAAACAAACTGCTATATTGCTTGTAAGGGATATGGTAAGCAGCTGCAGTATGCTCTAGTTCTAAAAAAGTAGTATTTCAAACACCTGAAATGCCCAGGGCTTCAGATAAGTACTTGGATATCACTTAATACAGTTATGAGCATATTCACATCAACACTAGTAGTGCAGTTTACTCGGCAAGTGAAGACTGCTGAAACTGCTTTACTCCCTCTTTCAAGAAAAAATACTGAGCACTTCCTAAGTGGTCTGAAGCCTTGCACATTATATTATCTAAACCACATAGCACATACATAGTACTACATACAGTTGCTAAAAGCTATTTTCCTGCTTTATCTGCACATAAACCCACACCTTTTAATAAAGTCTTGTAGTTCCAAACTCAGACAATACCCTTCTATTTTTGCAAGCAGCAAATTTAAGCATGCTAGGAAAAAAAATATAGGTACACAGAAGAAATGTTAACATAGAAGAGTGACTTAAATGAGAAGCTAAAGGTATTAATGAATCAACTCTCAAATTTGAGTATTCAGAGTGCCACAGATTGCAATGGCTTGATTTTTATCACTAGGAGCTATCAAAGGTTTTGTGTGGTGTTTTGTTAGTATTTTCTTTGGTGGTGGTGGTGTTTTGGCTTGGGATTTTTGTTGGTGGGTATTTAGCTTGGTGTGTTTCATTGGGTTTTTTTTTTAAACTAATAACTGAAGATCTTTCCAGGGTTATGAATCTCACCTATCAGTAAGAACGGAACAAAATACCACTTAGACCAATTTGTGTAATTTTAAGAATGCAAATCACAATGAACAAGCATTTGCAAAGACAGCACAGAGACCATGTCATGATGAGGAAAAATAAACACAAGTGAGTGAAAAAGATGAGATGATGTGCTGCCAGGCTCCTTACCCATTGCTGCTGCTGCTGGAGCTCCCTGATGGTATTCTCAGCTTGCTCCAGTTTAGTAGTGGCCTCATCACTCTGCTGTTTGATGGTGGCCAGCTCCCGTTTTATGAGGTAGTTTTCCTCAGCCTCCTGGGCCCTTGTCACTTGTCCCTTAGGACATAATTTTATTTTTTTTTTTAAGCAATTGAAGACAAATCCAAGAAAGACTGCCTTTGTGATGCTTAGCTGCTTATTTCATCAGATTGGTTTTACAAACAGCATAGAGTACAATTGGTAGAAATTTTAGGACAAGTAGTAGAAAACAGCTGCTTTAGTACTTTATTAGAGTTCAGCATCCATTTAGCAAGCACAATTGTGTACTTGCATTCAGTAAAATTCCTTTCATGCAGTATTACTCAGTTGTACATGCACAGATTTAAGCTCCCAATATTCAATTTCAGTGTTAATACAGTGTCATAAAATCCATTTGTCACAGGAATTTGTACCAAAAAATTACATTAGGTTAGGCAACATATTATAACGTGCAGGTATTGGGTTTATCTATTTTTAGTAAATAAAATTAAATAAGGTTCTAGCAAGAAATTAGCGCTATGTTTATTCCAAATCAGCAAGGCAGGGATAGAGTACAGCATGCAAATATGCATGCACTAAAGCAGTTTGGGTTTTTTTGAGAGTAGGAAGAGAGTCATACAGAAGACGACTAAAAGACTATACCTGTATCAATCTATCTGCCAAGGAAGCACTTTCCTACAAAGGAAAAATTCAGAAAGGAATAAGGAAAAGAAGAACCAAAACCAAAGGGGTGATAATAGTGACAAAAAAAGAGCTGAGAGAAAGAAACTGCCCAAATTCTACCCATTTTCTGTACAAACACTTTTTGCAAAATTAACAACTTTCCCTATAAATTAAGGCAACTCAGCCTGAAAGTCCCAGAAAGCAGCCTTTTCTGCAAGAGATTTAACACAGCCCATCTTTGATACAAGAAGGTCTCAAAGTCAGATTTCTGTAACACTTACAATTTACCTACAGGAGAGTGGGTAGTTTTATTTCAATAGCTTGCTTCCCTAATTAACAAAAGTTATTAATACATTATCTGATATAATCTAGTAGACAGATGCAAGACGTGGTCTATGGTCCAGCTCCAACACGAAAGGAAGGCATAATCTGAGCACAAAAGGAAACTCCACTAAGCACTGAGTCATTCATGCAGAACTAAAGCTTCCAGAAAGATGAAGGAGGACAGTTAAGTGGTGCAAACTGACACAAGTAGAAAATTTCAACTATGACTGCTAATAATTTTTTTTACTGAACTCTTGCAGTAAGTCAATTGAGCAGTTCATGGATTCTCCTTCCTTGGCAAAGTTTTGCAAGAAAGAAATTTTTATTTATGCACGCTGACAAGCACATTTCCCCTCCCAAAGTTGCACATTTAATTAATTTCTACTCTATCACCCTTGAAAACAGTCAACTTTTGCAGATTTGACAATACAGAACACATGCATCCACAGACTATCTTTGTCCTTGGAACTTTTATTAAAATTAAAGTTCAAACTCATCGATGAGAGTTGTTACTTGGAAGTTAAGATGTTTGTCACTAAGGAAGTCACAACTAAATCATGTAGATTAGGATAAGGAAAAAATACTTTAAAATAAAAGAAGTTTCCAACTGAATGTGTTTGTTCACACTTTATGATCTGTTTTTCAGATGCTGTGATGATAGTGATATTCAGAAGTTCTTATTAATAAATAGCATTTTCTCATTTTGAAATGTTCTAATTCCAGTCAGAATGGAATACTCCGAAAGCGAATTCTGAAATTTTAAGTATGGAATTTGCAAAGGCACTAGCATCTGGCAGTTCATCATGGACTTGCTAATACAAAAAAAAAATCTGCTTTCCAACACATCTGCGAGTTAAATATAAAACAGGGATATTTACTATTATAAATATGCCAAGAGCATTGAAGTGATTCACTACAGCTTCAAACTTCTTAAAGAGACTCTGCTCTTTGCAGTTAATTTTATCAGGACTATCAATAATAGAAACAAATATGTTTATAAAATTGTATTTTTGGTCACAACTTTCATAATATATCCTCATTATGTGCACTTTTCCAAACATTGATCTTCAGAAATCAGTTAATTAGAATTTGACATAGATTGACTCTTTTTCCAAGAATCTGTAATGGATTTACTATCTGAAGCGTGACATCTTTCAATTATGTCACTCTAAATTGACTCTCTACCATCTTCTTCCCCATGAAGCACGAGCAACTCTTTGCAATTCACAAGAGCATTCAATGTCATTTGCTGAAAGACAGTTGCTATTGGTGGTTAAGATGAACAAGAACATTCTCATTCTAGAGCAGACCAGCTCAGATACAATCTGTCACAGGAGGCATGATACCAGAATACAGGACAATGCCGTTGGAGAAGAATGCCTGGATGTTGGCAGTGTATTGACAACAGTTATCATGCATACTTTTAGCATTATATCCAGTTACAAAGCAGCCTAACAAAACTCTATTCCCGACTAAATCTGCGAGAAATAAATCTTAAAAGATATTCTCCCCCCCACATACCCAAAATTGCTACAAAAATTCAAGACTATATAAAACAGCTTAATGACAGCAGACTTCCTGTACTGAATGTGAATGCTGCAACCCCTCTACTGCTGTATTCACTAGTGATGGAATAATCTGCTTTCCTCTCCATCTCTCTGGTCATTGGTAGGTCTGTCATTTTGCTCCTATGTAAAAACACCCAGCAACTTCAGATTTTCAAAACTGAGGATTCTCTCACAATAACCTCTTTTCCACCCAAGCAGTCCACTATTTCATGTAGTCTTCTGGACTTTGAACAGATGCTTCTAATTCAGAAAGAAAACAGTACAACAAAAGTTGGGTATGTCAAAATGTTTGATTTCATATTCACCAAGAGCCAGACAAAACAACCTTAAACATTTACAAGCACTGATCCTAACTGCTTTGTTATTGCCAGGCTATTTGGCTAAGCACTGTTAGTAAACACAATAGATTAGCAGGAAAAACAGTAAACTAATTCTGAGATTCCCATTTCATATAATAAAACTACCATCAATTTAAGTATACATGAACACAGATTAAATCTAACCACCAACATACTTACTTTTTCTAATGTTTCAATGCGCTGTTTTAGGAGTCTATTTTCAGTTCGTAACCTCTGGAAGATAACAGTTCAGAATTTTATTTCTCAAGTTATGGATTGGAAGTCTGATAAAAGCCAAGCAAGCTAACAACATTTTTATCTCATCACATCTATGAAAATCAATACAGATACAAAAATAATTAGTGACCTTTTTAACATCCTTTTTTATGATGTACTAACTCAAAACATGAGTTTAAACAGTTTGATACAACAAAGAGAAATAGTAGCCTTGTGTTTTATTTGTATTGCACTAGATGAAAGCGGTATGTCTGCGGGTGAACCACAAGGCACCACCACACACTAGGCCTGACAGCCTCCTCTTCAGGAACAGAGCTGGACACAGCCTTTGTGGTTAAGAAACACGAGAGTGCACTCCCTGCACTAGGACAGGCTAATGAGATAGCTACAAGGCTTCCTCCCTTCCTTTTGCTCCCAACAGTTTATGCTAAGTTATATAATAATATTTAATCGGTAAGGTTATACAGCTATTTACCTCAGATGCCCCAGAAGTGAGAAAGAGTTGTAATGAATTGCTTAATTTACCAGTGCATTTCCTATAAATTTTAGCAGTCAGCATTCAGATAGAGATCCATATCCCTAAGAACAGAGCCATGGATATCAGTTCAGTAACGCTTTACTCTGCCAGGCTAAGAAGCAGACTCAATGGGCTTGTTTTTCCATCTCCCTAAAACAGCAGAGCTTCTCAGCAGTAGATAGTAAGTCAGAAATGGTTTATATAAGGTCCCAAAGCTGGGCCTAGAAACAGACAGCTTGGGGTTGCTGGGTTTGGGTGGGTGCATGGGAAGTTTTTTCATTGTTTTTGTTTCTTTACGTTGGAGTGGGGTTTTTTTTGGGGGGGAAGGATTTGAAATAAGTTCAAATCCTAAAGTTACAGTTGTCTTTCACACAATTTTATTTTGTCCTGTTCTACAGAGAGCTGTCATTTGAGTCCTGCAAATCTTCTGATTTGAGATGCCATTACAGCAGGTCCTAATGCTGCTAACTGCCTTGCTGCCTGTTACAATGGTAACACACTGCCTGAAAAAGCCTGGAACACCTTTGTGCTGCCAGGTGCGTGTCACTGAATTTTTCTGAAGAATGAATGCCTTAGAAACAGATATTGAAAGGCAAAATGACTAGCAGTGGATGGGAAGAAGTAAGGCTCTGCATCACTCCCTCTACTAAGCTTTATATACTACACTTGCCCATCATTTCTCCCACTGCTTTTTCTCATGGAACTGGCTAAAAACATGTCACAAGGAAGCAAATCCAGATCAAAGACCATGTTGTGAAAAAAATGTAAAAAAGGAAAAAAGCAGCAAAAGCCTATTTATGTCACAAAAGCAAAAAGATGCAGTTAAGTACGTACAGGAAGTAGGTCAGTTAGTAAAAGGGAAGCATAGATTGCACTCAAAGGGTGGGTTTTTTTTCCCCACATTATGTATCAATTGCAGAAGCACCAAAAGAAAAAGTGACTGCAGACAGAAGACACTCAGTCTTGGGACCAATGCATAAGAAAAATCAAGGTCTCAAAATCAACGATACACCACTTAAGTGCCTTCTGATAAAGTCTATCTTAATACATGTCTTAAAGCTCCTGTGTGGGACACCTAATCTAAACCAGCATATTTGGAACCTCTGATGAATGAGGGCACCTGTAATCAAGCTTTAGTTTTCATTGCTTTCTACTTACTAAGTACAGCAGGTCTCCAAAGATTTTTCTTTGAGTATCCATTATAAGTCTCAATAAATTTCACTGTAAGTGTCCTTTATGAGCAGGCATCCCAAATACAAATGCTAAAAAAAAATTTGGGGACCTCAATTACATGGCCTGCTACATATACCAATCAAAGATGTAACCCCACATCTAGGAATTAAACTGATCCATAGATAAGTTTGTTGAGGCTCTCTTACTTTAATTTCAACTTGTTCTTCCATTTCTTTTGTCTTTATCGTAGTGTATTCCTTTTCTAACCTAAAAATCAGAAATAGTAACTTAGGGTTAGAAAACTTGTGGATAACTTGGTGTAATACCTAACAATAGTAGAACAGAGATACAGATTATTGATATTTCCTCTGTTTAAATGGCCGCTTGAAATGCACTCCTGTAAATATTTAGACTGGACATTAAGTTTAAACAAAGACTTCTGTAGACACAAACAGATTCTGAACTAGCACTCCGGAATGCAGGTGCTTGCTTGTATACATTTACAGTGGCAATGATTTGGAGTTACTCTGTAATAACCATTCAATGTAATTATACAATAGTCAATTCAATAGATTCAGCCAAAAGAAAACAGCTTGGAAAGCCTGGAAGACAGAAATATGCAAAGATATTTGAGACATATTTCTTAAACATATAAAACAATTTTGGCCCCTCTCCAGCAAACTATAGAACTGTCCCAATTGAAAAAGGTGGCAACAAGAAAAAACAAGCCAAGATAAACAATGCCTCTAAACTACATAAACTTGTAGTAGCTTTCAGAGAAGGTGTTTTTCCTGAAAGCACTATTACTAATTCTGTTTTAGAAAAGACTGCTCACTCTATGGCAGTGGTCATAGGTCACTGACAGAAGGATTGGCAAGTTCAGCTTGAAAGACTCTGGCCCAATCGGCAGTGCAAGAACAGTGAATGTACAATACATTACAACCAGCTGGAGAATCACCAAACTTAACCCTGGAAAAGCACGATATGTGCAGCTTGACTCATCAAAACACAATTTATCAAAGGCAGAAAAGATGTCACGCAACTAACCTTAAAAAAGTAATACTATGCTCAGTATTTCAAACCTCAAGTGAAAGTTATTTTACAATTACCAATGGTATTGCAAAGTTTCATTAATTTATATTTTAAACAGCACTAATCTTGACTATACATGCGCTCTGTAGCACTGTGAATACTTTTCCAATTACTGAGAACTAAACTTTTAGAATTCAGGCAGATCATCAAGTTTAACCTCCTTTCCCTATTTGACCCTCAAGAAATAAAACAATACCTCCCCCAAAAAACCTCACCCCTTCACCCCCTCCACAGCTTTTCCTATTCAGATCCTGTTTACAGAAGTGCTGTAATTCCCCATTACTTGCCTCCTTCTTAAAAAGCTTTTAAGGTTATTTTATAAATGACATATAGCTTTATTATATTTAAGAAAATTAGCAAATACTGCTTTAGAAGATTTTTCTTGCAGATGGAACTTCCATTTTAACTGTTTATAGTAAAAAAAAACCCAAAATTTAAAGATGGCAAATTCAAAATGAAATACTGAATAACTAGTTTTAAAGATGAACAAACAGTAGCTCTTAGCAACAGTATAATTTATTTTCTCAAAGTGTTATACCTACTTTTTCATCTTTTTTGCATTGTATTTGACTTGGTAAGATGCTTGGATTAATTTGTCTGGACCACTGTCAAACTGATGTGGAATGACCTTTTGAAAGTGCTAAAAGCAATCAGAGCACAAGATTACATGTAATTAATAGCTGAAAGGAAATATACACACACATTGCACATTTCAGACATCTTACAGTTATTGTAAGTTTAATTTACCTGTAACATTCCTTCCATGTCAAGTTGCAGTAATTCTGCTTGGTTCATCTGAAGTACTGCTAGACCTACTCGAAATACTATCTCTAAACCCTGAAAACAGAGGTTAAGAAATATCCAACAATTACTCATGGCATTGTCAACAATACAGAATAATTCTATTTACTCATGTTGGAAATCTCACCTAGTTTCTCAAAAAAGCAAAAGGGCTACTGAAAAAGTCTCTCAACAAACTAGTTCTGGGTTTCTTATTTTGCCCCAAGGACAAGTAGTCCAGCTATTTGCCCTGATGCCAGACATGCCCCCAGAGAGGCTCCAGCTGCAGTAAAAACTTGAGTAACAGGTGCTCTTTATGTCAGCTTTGTCAAACACTTTAAATTTATCTAGTACAAAAAACTCCAGGTACTACTTAAAAAAGCCATTCTGATTTCAGACATGGTACAATGCAGTTAAACTACTTAGATACAAGGGAATGTCTCACTCATACCTACTATCTATTTTGGACATGTAAGCTGGAAGGATCCACCTTTGACTTCCTATTTTCTAAAAGAGGACTGCAGAGAAAGAGCATAAATGGACCATAAGCTTTGGTTTGTTACCAGTTAACAGCCACACAAAGCTCTAATCCTAAACACAACTGGGGTGCCTTTGTGATAGTGACACTGAAGAGTTCCATGTATTTCTTTGGCTACTGTTCATCATCTGGACAATAGAAGATGCCAACAGTCCCTCTTCTTGGCCTGAAAACAGCATTACTTTCCACCCCAAACTTACTATGATACTAAGAAACTGATGTCCTTGTTGTACGCAATATTATCGCGCTGCATCCAGAACTGACCAATCTGGTTGCATACAGTAGCTACATTCAAAGATTTAGTTGCTTTTCCTTGACAAACTACATATGCAGACATTGTCCTCTACAAAATAATCTGGTAAGCATAAGGACTAAAAAGCAAGACTATCGGAGATTTGCCCATCATAATGGGAATTATACCACTACCTAAATAACTGCTTTTAACAGCTACTCTTGCAATAGAACATATGAGTATTGAGTAGTTACCTCAGACATAAAGATATCAAATATTCTTGTTGCAATTGGTAGTGGAAAAGTTGTAAGGAATATAGTTAAAAACCATGACGATGCATACATAGAAGTGTGGAAACTCTGAGACTGAAAGTGCACATAAAGCTCTGGAAGATGCTCCTGGAAAAGAAAAAACTTTAAGCTTCTGCTAGTAGTTTTAGTGTGCCTGTGTTTTCGAAAAAATTTGAATACATTAAGGAAAAAATTGATATTTAGCACAGACAGCAGCTTTGTAACACAGAGTAGGAAAGATACTACTCAAGAACCATGCAACAGAAGTCCCAGTATAGAATGCCCTACAGCACTTCTACCTTGCAAAGCACAGCTTACAAAAACACTTCCTGATCCTAACAGGAAGTCTCAAGTTTGTAAATCCTTATGTCACATCTAGAGTGGGCAACAAAAAAAAGAGCTGGAAAGATCTAGGGTACAGCCAGAAACCTACGTCTTATTTGCTACGTACCATCCCATCATCATGTTAGGAACTAGATCACAAAATGCAAACCTATTTGTGTCTAATCAGCCTGACCACGAAGAAAGCGTTCTGTGCCCCAAATCTGAACACAATTTTAATTCTACATATGAGCGTACCCTCCCAGGTTTTTTTTGGTTTTTTTTTAAAGATAGCTAGAAATTGACTACGAAGACATTGACTTTCAGAATCTTCAAACAGAATTAGACATTCATTGCTTAAAGCATAGCAATACAAATCCTCATGCTTCGGTGTTTAGAGCCGCTCACTATCTGCCAGAGGTTCAAAAAGCAGACCACGTGAATTTACTTCTGAAGTTTGGAAGCTAGCTACAGCCTGTTAGCCAACAGACAAGCCTGCTCATGAACTGTAGTTCTTAAGTTCCTTATTAATAGTTACTGAAGAGAAAGTCTGATAGGTTTTGTACGTACCTGTATCATGCATTCAAACTGGTACATACAAAGGCCCAGTTCAGCCATGCTTGGTTTAAAGAGTTCTCGTAGTCTGTAATCTTGCATTAATTTAACAAACACACAGAATGCCTCTTCTTCTGGCATCTATATTAAAAATAAAAAAGCACAGTAAAAACTCTGGACAGATGTAAGTATATATCAGAGTAACTGCCTGGGAAGGTTTAGTTGGGTTTTGTGTGTGCATGTGCAGTGGGTTTTTTTTGTTTTGTTTTTTGGGGGGTTTTTTGGTTGTTGGTTTGGCTGGTTGTTTGTTTTTTTTTTTTTAACGGATTTATAACCAACTACTGCAATGAACTTTTGTGTGTATTGAATTCTATCAAGTGATTTCTAAACTGAAATGGAGGTCTGCAAGTTTCTTATAATACATCCTACTTTGTCAGAAAAAAGGCAGCTTTAAGATTATCAAATCAACTGTGATGTTCCATTTGAACTCTGAGGAGGTTCATGTAATAGAACTGAAATGAGAAGTTCATTAATAGTTGAAACAACATTCACCAAAATAGCTTGCAAGTCTGCAATCCTACCTTAGCTCTGAGAAACAGATGTATTCTCCCACTCAAAGATAGTAACTTCTTGGCAAATAGAACCACAGAGAATAAATCTCATTTGATTTGCAGAGTAAACAGCTGTCCTTGCCAATTCCATTGTAACAAAACGACAAAGGAAAACTATTACAGGAATTCCCAATAAAGCACCACGATGCATCATGCGTTCTAGCAGGGATTTTAAGGTTCACATATTTTTAATATTGTGTTTACCTGCATAAGCAGTAATCCAACTATAAAAGCACTTCCTTGACAGTATCCAACTTCACGATCCACCAAAGAATAAGCCTGGGAAATAAAGTTTTAAAACTATCAACAATTAAAATCTCATTATCAATAAAAAGTAATCATCATTCATGCTGTTATTTTGCTAATAATTTACTCTTCCTCTCCCAAATCCAGTGAGGACAGACACTCTATTCGGAAGTTTTAGTCAGATATTCTAATTACTACCTGCTGCTACGAGGAGTATGAACTCTGCTCTCTCATAGCCTACTCAGTTTTAGCTAAGGCATACCTGAAAAAAAATACACACACTTTTCAACTACAGCATCTTCATGTTAGAGTTATGGGAGTTACTGTGATTTGGAGACCTGCCAACTTTTCTGCTGAAACTACACTGAATGGAACAGTCTGTCTCAAAATTTAAGCTTTAGTACAATGAAGACAAAATAAGGCAAACAATCTTATGGTGGCACTCTTATTTTGTGCTTGGGCACTGTAACAACTGCACTTTAGCTTGTGTCTACCATTTACTGCTACCACTTGGAGGTTCAGAAGCACTTGAAAACCAAAGGCTAGTTCTGATTGATGGCATTCTTGCCTTGGTCACCAGTGGCTACTTTACTTCATGGCAGACTTTATTCCATTATGTTACCAGCAGTTAGCATGTGACTGTTTTAACACAAATTTAGTAAGTTTAAATCTCTCAACATAAAACCATTAACTATAGGAATACCATATTTGAAAGCTGTCTTTGAAACTGGAATGTAATTTGTTACTCCACTTCACATGAATGGTTTAAGTTTAAAAAACTTGAACACATAAAATTGATGCAAGTTCAGTATAGACAAAGCAAATTATTTTCCAGACTTTCCAAATGTGCACATTCCTACTGTTTTCCAGGGCCAAAATACTGACTTACCTTCATTACATTGAACAAGACCTCCTGTCCCAGGCTGTCTTTTTCTTTAAAAAAATCATGTTCAGGGTATGTTCTAGCAATGTCCCTTCTTATTAATTTCTCACAAGGAGATGTCATTTTCAAAAGCTCCGAATACTGATCCTTAATTGGCATGCTTTGAGCACTGCATAACAGTTGCCAAACAATTGCTCTGAAATGATGAGGTATCCCTTTTCGAACAAGCTCCTAAAGCATAAGAATAAGACAAATTCATTTATATTTCCTGAAAATATAAACATAAGCCTAAAGAACAAAACACTTCATGTTGAAGTTCCTCATAACTTCAGTGAATGTTTACATCATGTCACAAACCAATCATACAGTTTATGTGTAAACCTCAATTTTAGCCTGATATTGTCAGCTAACTAAAGCAAGGAGAGTCAGAATCATCTTTAGTGGCTAAATTAGCTAATGAAAGTAGTCCCCTATTCAGAGTAAGCTACTTCAAAAATGGAATATTCAAGAAAATTTTATACAAGAAGTCCCATGAGCCAGAATTTAATACAGTTATTTTTATATTTCACAAAAGATTACTGAAGATAACACCCTTAATTGTATTTTTAGTGATTGAGATATAAGAAATCACCAATTAAAAATTATTTCCAAGACAGGTAAATGATAGAAAGTAGAGCTAAGTGCAGCACAGCCAACTGCAACAAGAAATATCGCACAGTACTATCAGAAGTCACTTGACAAGTTGCATCTCATTTGTCTGGTATGCCACTATTTCCAAGTTCTTTTAAGTATTTAAGTGTAGTTTCAGACACTGGACCAAGAAAACATTAAGTTTACATCTACTGAATTACCTAAATTTACTTTATCTTCCCTGAAAAAAATCAGCTAGGTATCTGTGGTGGGTTGACCCTGGCTGG